CAAGAAGCTAGTAGAAACAGGTGCATCGCTAGTGTACCGGGGTGAGCGGTCTTCTGGACGCACCTTCTCGTCTTTCCAGTCATCTTTCTTGTACAAGCCTGGAAGCTGAGCTTGGCAGCTCCAACAGTCTTAACCAACACCTGTAGCGTCCTTGCTCCTAGTAGTATGGCCAGGAGCCCCTAGTAGCGTCCTTGCTCCCAGTAGCGATGCCCTTTGCTCCTAGTAGCGTCCTCTTAACCAAGCATATCTGAACCAAGACCTGCAGGCTTTCGCCCCATTCTGCCAGGTTACCAATCAGAACCTCTGGCTCGGCTTGAGACGAATAGACCAGCTCCAGCCCAACTTCCTAGTGTCAAAAGCATACGTCAGCTTGATGGCATGCAAACGGACGGCACTGTAGACAGCTTGATCACATTGCGCGGCTATAAGACAACCTGGGGGTTCAACCATACGGAACTGAAGATCATCTTCAGGACGAACCTCTGAGGTGATCAGATTTCCCTCCTGAAAGAGAAGGTTGCTAAAGGAAGGAGCCCCTAGTAGCGTCCTTGCTCCTAGTAGTAGGGCCAGGAGCCCCTAGTAGCTTCTTGTTCCTAGTAGCAGGTTTCACCACAGGCTTTCTAAAACACTCTGAAAGCAGTGGCTGCAGTGCAGTACAAGTTGTACAAGCAGCAGGTCCTCCACCAACGGAAGCACTTCACCACAGGTCTTCCTAATTGTTCTTCAAAGACGCGATGGTCACTCACGATACAGAGGCAAGCAACTCATATTATGGGAGTTGTTCTGTTTGTAGTGTCTGCATAAAAGTGTTCTCTATAAAGAGAAGCTGTTTGATCTAACCAGCAAGGGGTAGTGCGATATGAGGATATTGAAGACTTCAAGGTGAGGATATTAGCATGCAGCATGGGGTAGTCGCTGACTTAATAATGCCTATTGGAAGAAGCGTTGATTGAGAAGTCCTCCCAATCCCTCAACCTATCGAGAACATGTCGAAGATCCGCTCGTCAAGGGAAAAAGCATATGATTGGATTTTTGTACCAACAGCACAGCTTGCAGCTGCTTGTAGCAGTGGAGTCAGTCTGAAGGTCACGGTTCTATTCGGTACCTAAAAGGTAGTCTTCGGAAACTTCCAGAACTGTGAAAGGAAAGTGTTTCCACGACTGTGAAGACCACACATGTATACAGAAAGACCAAAAATCGTAGCCGTCACAGAGCACATCAATAAGCCCACCAACCCCCCAAGCCCCAAACGTCGCAGAATAGCTCGATATGGCAACATCTCGGTGGGCCAAGCTTCAGCAGTGCCGCGGTGTGGTCTTTCCCGATGATGTCCAGCATGGACTGCATCAGGCCCCGAGCATCACTGAAGCTCTCCTCATCCTGGACAGATGAAACAAGAGCTGAGCTATGCAGGTGTCTCGAACACACAAGGTGTGTAAAGGATGCTTAGAATTGGTAAGACAAAAACAAATGAAAATCTACAGGTCTAATCCAACATAGTAATGATGATGTTTCAAATTGATTTTGCTGTTTGAGATATGGTGTAAAGCATGGTGTAAATCTCGTGTGGAGCTACTAAGAATAAAGGGCATCGCTACTTGGAGCAAGGACGCTACTAGTAGCTCCTGGCCTTACTACTAGGAACAAGGACGCTACGAACGGAGCTTTACACCATATCGCCTGCAGAATGTCGAACAAGTCTTCTTCCATCTTGGCCACGGTGCCCTGACTCAACTGATGGGCGAAGCTCTCTCGTCTTTACTCCATCGTGTCGAAAAAACGTCCTTCAACCATGCCAGCATGCTTCTGGTCATCCCTTTGGTTGAAAAATAGCTTACTGCAGGAAACCATGTTCATGATGATCTACGCTGCACTCCACTGTAAACCAGGAGGAACGTGAGTTCCTTTCAGACTCATTCACCACAAACAGCGCGTTTGGTCTTTCAAGTTTTCGCCTGGCGTTCGAGGGACTTTCCGGTGGGAAGGCTCAGCCGAAGAGTCACAGCATGGCCCAAGGTGAGCCTGTCCTAGCGACGCTTCGTGTCGAGAGAAGTGTTGCAGTTCAGCGCTCTCGCTCTATGTCTTCCCTCAACAGAGCGACAACACAGCCACTGATTTTGCAGAAAGCTCTCGCTTGGCGCTGTCTGTACAACCTTGAAGGCAAAAATCTATGCTTCAAAGAAAGCATCTTTTTGAAGGTGTGGCTTCTTAGCGCAACTTGCGTGGCGATATCCGCAAAGTACAGGAGCGGCCCAACGCCAGCTTGTTGCGTCCACATTAAAAGGGATGCATGCAATGCTCGGTCGCCAGCACTGAGTGAATCAACTGTGCGGAATTCAAACCAAAAGAACGACCCGCATACAGCCGTCGTTTTTCACTTCCTTTGGAGAGAGGTTTAGTATACAACCAACGCATTCTCAGGTGCAATAGTTTAGCACTTCTGCTTCAACTGTTGTCTATTCGTGGTAAACTGTCACAGCTAACTCATTTGGTGTGATCGATGTCGTTCAAGTGGTAACATGCCAGCCATTTGCCGAATCTCCACGGCCCTTTGCCAACAGGAGATGAAAACAGCATTCAAAAAGGTGATTTCTCAAAGGCAAGACGTGCGACTCCTCTTGTGATATAGACTATCAAGGCATAATACCAGTAGCTTGAACATGATTGAAGATAGACTATTTATTGTTGGAATTCATGCCCTTGGTCTCAAGCAGTAATGCAAATCTGCTCACAAATCCAAAGAAGTACAAATCTCCAACAAATCTTTGCCTCCAACAAATCAGCGGAACGGAATTATTCAACTGACTCAGACAGTTTCTCTCGAAGGATGGTCGGAGGCCCGCTCGTGGTACGTCTAAAGGCCTCGACCAGCAGACCATAGCGCAGCCACTAGCAGTGCCACTAACAGCCAGGTTGAGAAAAAAACGCGGAAAGCCCGTGTACTCGGGTAAACTTTTTGCCGAGTCTCATTGGGGTTTGGAAGAGACCAAGTGAATCGGAAGCGAAATGGGGATTCTGTTCAAGCCGAGCATCCCCTGGTGACACTAATCGCGGCATTGTCAGCTTAAAACTCAATTTCTGACGGTGTTTTGGCACCTGGGAGAATTCGCCAGCAACAAACGAAATGTGGGAAATGCAAAACATTGCCGCATGAACCACAAATCACGTTATTTTGATATGTGTCAAAAGGATTCAATCGGTGCAACCCTGAAACTCATTTGGTTCAACCGTTTCTGCTTGCATTTCACTTGGCACCGGTTGTCCCACTGATGGAGGCGGTGCAGGTGCTGCAGCTGGTGATTGTGGGGCTGATGAAGCTGGGCCTGGATCTGCCTCAGCAGTGACAGTCTTTCAAAAATTGTGTAGCCAAACCATAACACTATTGATCAAATGCATGGTATATTTAAACTCAATTAAAACTCACAACATAATGAAACATGAAGTGGAAGTTGCTTGCAATTCAAATCAATCCGAGAAAGGGAACACCTGTGCTTGGCCGAAATCATACCTAAATCTCACTTCAACCTGCAGGGATCCTGGATGCTGGAAGAACCAAGCATCAAGAAGGGAGCGATCGGACGCTACTAGGGGCTCCTGGCCTTACTATATACTAGGAACAAGAAGCTACTAGGAACCAAGGGCATCGCTACTAGGAGCAAGGACGCTGCTAGGTTGGGGCATGGCCCTAGGCATCTCAAGACCAATCAATGAACCAACCGATAACTGCTGTCGAGGCACAGCCGATAACTGCAGTGTATCAGACCGGATAGGTTGTTGACCTTCATCTTCTGCTATGGAGGTGAATTCACCGGCCTCGAAAAAAAAAAATAGAACGAGCCGGTTGGCTAAGCAGGGCTACATCAGCACTCACATGAGATGTCAAGTACCATTCCTCATCTGCTGAATCGCGAACGGTGAATTTGTGCAGAATGCTGTGGAAAGCTCGAGACTAGGTTGCACACCGACACCGAGTTGTCTGGTGTCATTCCAATGACCTGTTCAAAGGCAGTCTGAGAAGGTGAGGTAAATTGAGGCTACTAGGAACAATGTTCGCTACTAGGAACAAAGGGCATCGCTACTAGGAGCAAGGACGCTACTAGGGGCTCCTGGCCTCACTACTAGGAACAAGAAGCTACTAGGAACAATTGGATGGCCAAATTGCACATCTTTTATCCAAATCCAAACCACTCTGGGGCTCTTAGAGTCCCGCCCTGGGGAGGTCGCCAGCCACATTGCAAATCTGCCGCACCGCGCTGAAGGAAGAGCTACCCGATATCCTTGCTGGATGCTTTGGGAGGCGCACAGCTTGCGCCATGTGCCGAAACCACCGTGCCAAGAGAATGGAAGATCTTTAAATAGTATTTTGCCTCGCTTTGACCTCTCTTGTAAGTTAAGTTTCCTTAAAATTTAGGAGCCAAATATAGCCAAATGATTTGGAAGCTCCCCCTCCGCCCTCAGGCGCGTGGAGCTTCCTTGAAGAGGCATGAGCTATCCTGCGTCCATGCTAGTAGCTACTTGCTACTTAAGCTACTAGCTACCTAGCTACTACTAGCCACCTACCTCTAGCTACTACCCTTTCTAGCGGCCTACCCCCAAAATAACATGCTCTATATATATATATATATCCGTAGCTTGTATTGATTTGTCTCATCACTCTGGGCCCCCCAGACTTGCGGAAACGCCGCATGGCTGCAGTAGGTATCTCCTTCGGATGCGCAAGGAGACATCCGAACATCAGTGAGACCACTTCGGTTCTGTTTGCTTCTCCTGGATCCCTTGGATAAGCTGCCAAACGCCTCAAAGTTGAAATCTGTGTTGAACATTGTTATCTCTGGTAGGAAGGGGTAGATGGTAGTAGTAACTTAGTTAAGGCAAACTCCTGATGACTCAGTGAGTGAAAAACTATGACAAAAGCTCATAGTCATGTCCCAGGTACTGCCAGCTGAAGACGATGACCTTTGTCGCTCAGGTGGCAGTGCATCAGCCAAATCCGTACTGCTTGGTTCGAAGGCATTCCTCAGCAAGTGAAGCTCCCTAAGTCCTGAAAGCCCAATTTAGCACAATTGATTGAACTCTTGCTGTATCATCTACTGTATTTACACCAGGAACAAAAACAACAAGTGTGAAAACACCCGTGTTGCCGCGTGCAAACCAAGAAATCAATATCACTGCAAAGCTCAAACTGGGGTAGCGTCCTACTCGATACACTCTAACTAGTAGCCTATATCGGCCTACACCCCCCACCCGGCCTAAAAAGAAAAAATAAGTTGAATCAAGAAGCTACTAGTAGGTCCTGGCATTGCTACTAGGAGCAAGGACGCTACTAGTAAGTCCTGGCCTTACTACTACTAGGAACAAGAAGCTACTAGGAACAAAGGGCATCGCTACTAGGAGCAAGGACGCTACTAGGGGCTCCTGACCTTACTACTAGGAACAAGAAGCTACTAGTATAAATCCAAGCTTCAGGGACAAGGTCTCTGTCTCGGGAGGATCCGAGCGTGGCGTCGATGCGCTTGAAGGTCGCTGATCTTAATGGGTGCTGCTGACAGAACATGGTCCAACTTGCAACACATGATACTGAATAAGTAAACATTATTCAATCTAGCCAATAGAAAGCACATGAAACATTTAGAAGCATGTCCAAAATTTGGCATATCTCAATGCCAAGGGACCACGACCAGGTGGTGCAAGTAAATGTTGAGAATCTGAAGATGCTGAAGGCGGTGAAGGCGCTGAGGATGTCTTTGTCATGAACGAGGGATCTAGTGGCGCTGAGTGTGTTGGTTGCGTTGCTCGCCGTGAGCGATGGCTTTCTCTGTCAGCCTGAATGTCACCCAACAGGGCCTCGGACAACAGGCAAAGGCTCCATGCTTGACGTTAACAAATGGCAAAGTGAAAACAGAATCCTGTAAAAACCTGCAGTGCCTTCTCAGACACTGTAGAGATTCTCTACAGTCTCTTGAATCTCTGGAAAATATCTTGTTTTGGGCCGACCGGCTATGTATGTCATGATCACAAACTCGACTCACAAGGTGGCCGTGAGTCACTGACTGCCCCTAGGTTTCTTACGGGTCGCTTTCCTTTTAGCCCCCCATCATACAGTGTCGCTATTAGGTTGGAGGCCATCGCTACTAGGTTGGAGGCCACTATTAGGGCGGAGGCCATCGTTATTAGCTCTAATCATCCATATTATTGTCTAATATTACTACTAGGAACAAGGATGCTACTAGGAACAAGGGCCTTACTACTAGGAGCAAAGGACGCTACTAGGGGCTCCTGGCCGTACTATTAGTAACAAGAAGCTACTAGAAACAAAGCGTTCACTTGGTTTTTCATCAGCGATTTTCACCTCCACAGCAGGCGCGCCCCGATGTTCCAAGGTGCCAAACCCAACTTTGCAAACCGGAAAGCCTCCGAAGTCCTTCACGAGCCATTGGCATGTTGGAAGGGGTGGAAGGGGTCAAGGATCAAGTTTCCACAGGCAAGTAACAAGAAGCTATTAGAAACAAGTGCCTTACTTCTGGCGGCTCAAAACGACAAGCAACCTGTGGACTTGAGGGCATGTTGTATGCTCTGAGCACAAAGTGCGGAGGGTGGATTGACATAGGTCAGCAATGGTCAGTGTCCCCATTTTTGTGAAGAGAATTCTTGGTGGCTTGTTCATGCTTTCGTTCTCAGATCTAAGGCCATTCTGGAGATTCTGGAGCATTACGGCCAGTTCTCAAAGAGTACTGTTTCTGTGGATGTAGTGTGGGCACGCAAAATATTAAGCATCTACATTGACTGGAAAAGTGCAGGTGCGGCTTCAGGTCTTGACCATAAAGGATTGTAAAACGAACGAATTAAGCTCACCAGCTGAACATAGTCTGTCCTCACCCCAGTCCTCACTTTTTTCTCGCCTAACTAATAGCAATGGCCTCCAACCTAATAGGAGTTTTAAGCTGGTGCTGAACATAGTCTGCGCTTTGAACACTCCAGTCCTCACTTCTTTTCTCGCCATGGCATAGACTTTGTAAAAGCACTCAAGTGCGCCAGGTCTGCTGTTAACATCCTTGTTGATTGTCCTCGGCAGAGATCCTTTCACATGTAGTACACATCAAATTCCTGAAAGAACTGTTAATCACTGAGAACTGTCCTTGCAAATTTGAAGATTCAAGAAGAAATACTTGTTACTAGTAGCTTCTTGTTACTAGTAGCGATGGCCTCCAACCTAATAGCGATGGCCTCCAATCTAATTGACTCCGTTAATCACTGAGGAATTTCCTTGCATCAAGTGTCAACTTCATAATGTCCATGAGGCCAGAAGATACGTGAAGAAAGCGATCAGATGAGTATGACACCTCGCATCTAACGGTTTTCCTCAGCCACGCATGCACCAAGTGATCACTGCGGTCAGCTACTCTCGGTTGCTTATTTTTTGAGTGCTTCACGCTTCCGTCGTTTATGTTGCTTGGTTCATGGTTCTGTGTGGAAAACTTCTGCTTCCGAGATTGTTTCTTTTTCTGCCACTCAATATACTTACGGGAAACTACCCAACACTTATGAAAGGCCTTGGACTTGGCCGTTGTCGAATCGATCTCTCCTCAAACACTGAAGGTGGTGATGAGCATGTTCTTGCAAGCCTAGAAACTCCAGAATAGCATCTTGAGAATCTGCAGAGAAGGGAAGCTTGCTGCGCAACATGAAGTAAAGAATCACACCAGCGGAAAAGACATCAACCTTGCAGCGCTCTGAGCGGAACCAACTGATTAGTGCAAGCGCTTCTTCAAAGAAGCTCCCCCCGCCCTCAGGCCGGGGGAGCTTCCTCGAAGAAGCGTGAGCTATCCTGCGTCCAGTAGGTAGAAGCTAACTTAGTAGCTCCTAGTAGCTTCTTGCTCCTAGTAGTAAGGCCAGGAGCCCCTAGTAGCGTCCTTGCTCCTAGTAGCGATGCCAGGAGCCCCTAGTAGCGAACTAGTCGCCCTTACTGGCCCTTACTTAATTAAATAGGGAGGCAGAGCCTCGGGCAAAAACACATTATGAACCTTTGCGTCATGTCGAATCTGTTTGAATCCTTGGCGCCCTAGCAGGACCTGAACATTGCTCATTCAATTTGAGAAGAATTGAACAAGGACACCTACAAAAAAGAACTGGCAAACAACGCACGTTAGAACTACAAAGAAAAAAAACTGAAAAAAAAGACAAGAGCCCTGTCTTTACTTTTCTCCTTGGCTACGTCGGTGCCTTCTCGTTGTATCGCTTGCTCATGATGATCTCTGGCGCGACATAGCCAGGCGATCCGACACGCTTCGTCATCGCCTCCACGTCGTCAATCCGACAGGCCTCGGGAGGAAGGGCCAACCTTTTCAGAAACTAAGGGTACTGAGGAAGAGAGTACTGAGGGTACCAAGGGTAAGGAACCCCATAAATAATCTTAAAGACTAGCTTTTTGCAAAGAAAAGGGGCCTTGCGGCCTTACCTTCTTCGTTTTCTTCTGTTGTTTGACCTACCAGGGAGGTCAAGCTACATGGCGTTGTACCTATCAGGTTTTGACCCATCCCCATGTAAGGAAGCCATCCCCCTGTAAGGAAGCCGTCTTCAACTGAACATGTAAGGAAACATTTCCTGAGTTCTGGCATTTCTTCAAAACGTGATTGAAGGACTAGAAGCCCATTCCCCACGGGGAGCGTAGAGGTACGTGGTTGCTATCTATGAACGATCTTCGATTGCATTTCTTCGATAGAATTGATGTTCATAAGATGTTTCGATGGTTCGTTTCATGCTCTTCAACAGATCCACATTTAGCACCACGTCAAATCTTGGTGACCAATCGCAAATCAGCTCCTTTGACGCATCTTTGGCAGGTTGATCTATAATTAACTTATTTTCTGCAGCACCCGCCCTATCTCCCGCAAGTGGTAATGAGCTTTGAATCCACTTCTGAATCCTGCATATCTGTGCATCAAGGTGCAATTCCAAAATCAATCAGCACAGCCCGTTCTCCGCGAAGGACCACATTCTCTGCTTTGACATCCTGGAGATGAGGGAGATCAAGCGGTTGGAAATCTTGAACATCAAGTTGCTGTAAAATGCCTATATAGTATAAACAGGGTTGAACATTTTTGGAATTGGATCTTTGATCAAAAGGTTCCCTCTCAAAGATCTAGAGAATTTCTTGACAAGCAGCTCGATGAGCAATCTTGCTGGCATGCCTCAAGGATCCAAAGTGATTGAACACACAAACAGGGTTTTGTTATACATAGGGATCTGGATCTAATGAATCTGATACTGAGCATGGCTATGCGTGTTGCAACTTCAAGATGTGTACACACCAAGAATATGGCCTTGTTGGAGGCATACGACATGCAACTAGGTACGCGACACATTCCTGTCGCTGCTTTGATCGAACGTGCTTGATGGAATCCAAGTGGCAGGTAGACCAAGGCTGAAAAGATTCCGATCATGATCTGCATCGCATTCTCTTGTTGGATTGCCTCGACCGAAGCTCTCAGATCTTTGCAGCTGAAAACACGGTTTCGGACTCGCGAGATGTTGCTCTTCGTGCTAGCATAGTGCTTTGGCACAGTCACAAACAGAGCTTGAGTGGAAACATTAGCATCATTTGGGACCTCTCATATCTTGGAATTCAAATCTTCTTCTGCTCCAAGACACGATATCAGATACCAATTCAAACCTGTGCAAGGTCAGGTCATGGCCCTGTTATGCACTGGCAATCAGTGTCTGAACTGATTGTTCTGAAACGACTCTGTTCGTTGGACAAGAAACAAATCTCCACCAGGGCAAAGCTCAACAACTGTGACCCACTGCGTTTTCTGCGCCATGCTCTCATCGCCCAGCTCGCAGAACCTGAAAAAAGATAACGTCGCAGAACACGAAGTGCCCCTTCTTTTCTTGGGCCGCTCTTGTTTTCTACTACGTAGCTAAGTAGGTCTACTTAATGAAGTAATGGCTAGCTAGCGGCTAGCTGCTACTACCTACTACCTACTGGACGCAGGATAACTCACGCTTCTTCAAGGAAGCTCTCCCCGTCGCCCTTGAAGAAGCGCTTCTATATTCATGTCTAAAAACAACACGAATTCACTTTCTTGATCAAGTGTTGACATTCGCCGAATTCAGCAGAGCTGCACGCCCAAAAAGGCGCTGATGTTGGGATGCCCACACCTTGGCCATGCGGATGGATCCAGTGATGGCCTCCAACCTAGAAGCCTGGAAACTAGAAGCAATGGCCTCCAACCTAAGACCGATAGCCTCCAACCTACAAGCGATGGCCTCCGTAGACCATTTTGCAAAGACTTCTCTAAGACGCCTTGCAGTATTGCTTGCTCCTCTATTTGCTTGCTACGCTAAGACGCATTTTCTGTAGCAAGCCGACTTCCGACCGCAGCGCGGTGGTATTGTTGGAATTCCACACCTTCAAAGGTCAAGACTTGGCACCCCAAACCAACAGCACGAGAAAAATATCGCCTTCACCGCCACCATATCAAAGTTGTGAAGGTTTTCGACATTTAGCATTGGTTTGTCCTCCTTGATGATGAGATGCCTCGGTGTCTGCAGTTGAGAGTTGATCATCAAGTCTTTTCAAATGAATAGTTGTTGGTTGTTTATTTAAGAAAAAAAGATCTGCCAAATGGACACTCTCAAGCTAGGCCACACATCTTTCGTAGGGCTGCGTGCAGCACCGGTGAAGACCTTGCAAAAATGTCACAAAGTCGTCTTTGAGTCTCCTTGTTGGCGGGAATTCGTGGGTAGCAAGAAAGAAAAGGAAGGAAACACATCATTAAACTGATTAAACGCATTCTAGGTTCTAGAATGTTCTAGGTCTACAGCCTTTCAAAACTGGCAAGAAGTAGATGACATCTAGAGAAGAAGATTGCACGAGCAAGAAGCAAACCTGCGAACTGTGTGTATTCCAATCGGGAGATCTTGCATTAAGGACGGCACAGCGCCCTGACCACCAATCCCGCAGACTTTCCTGGAGAGCAACAAATGTGCGGTTACTCCACTAAACGCCATTAATTGGCGACAATATGCTTTACACTTAATGTAACAGGCAAAGAACTACATGGTCAACTAATGTTAACTACATATGTTACATATACTATAATGCTATATATAATATATAATTAAGGCTGTATCTTCAAAACAAGGTTTGAAAGAGCTGGTCCTGGAAATGCTATAGCTCTGTTTCACGTCCCATCGCAAGGCCCCGCGTCTTCCAAGGCTGAAAAGGAAGTGGATCCTTAGCTCCGAGGCTTAGAGACTCCTCCAAGTTACACACAATGCTTCGCTATGCATCGCTCTGCATCACTTGTCACTCGTCTTTCTGGAACTGGCAACTGATTTTCCGCTTCAGTGCACACCAAGCTGCAACTCCTGGTCGGCACACCGGCCGACACACAACCTGACAAGCGGTCCAACTGGGGCAAACTGGATGTCCAATCAGCTCAGAAACGCCAAAGGATCAGTCTCAGGGTGACCATCGCAAGTAGGTTGGAGGCCATCGCTAGGACTCTTGTTGAACTGCCAAGCGTCAGCCAAATCTGAGAGCTACTTTCAGGATCCTCTGATAGCTCTGCATGCGCTCGCGGCGCAACCAATACCTCAAGCAACGATAGAAGCCATGGTTCAGGGACTATCTACCTAATGGGTTGGCAATGTCACACTATTCCAAATGTTGCACAATAAATGCATAGCATCTTGACGCTTTAGCAGTTTCACTTGCCAAGATTCGATGTGGGTTGCATGTTCAGTACGACCGAACGCTGGTCTCTTCCTGCTGTTCTAACAGAAGCGCAGCGGGGCAAAGTCAGTCGACTGCTGCAGTAGCTTTTATTGGCTTTCATGGGCTTCCAACGTGTTTCTGTTTCTTTTGAACCGCATGGTCAGCATCTGTCAGCATGCAGAGTTTAGAATGCAACAAGGCAAGGAATCTGTCCTCACAGGCTCGTCAACAACATCTGCTAAGAGCAATGGAATCAATGGGATCGAGCCGCCCTCCACTGTGTAGTTGATGTGAGTCTCCTTTGATCAACAGGGCTATTAGGTTGGAGCCCATCGCTATTAGGTTGGAGGCCATCGCTATTAGCTTTTCACAAGACCCAGTTTTTGGAAGGGGTTAGAGCCAAAAGGTCAGACCCGGCTTGACTATGCTTGACTCCTGGCCATTGACGTCCAAGGGGCGTTTAAGGTTAGGGCTTCGCCTTCAGGATACCTGCGCAAAAATCATGTTCTCACGGACAGTCTTTGCGCTTCAACACATGCTTCAGTTTGTTCAATTCTTGTTTCTCATAGCTTCTTGTTCCTAGCAGTAAGGCCAGGAGCCTCTAGTAGCTTCTTGTTCCTAGTAGCGATGCCCTTTGTTCCTAGTAGCGTACTTCAATTTGTTGCCTTTTTGTGCTTTGAAGATACTTGAAGCTCGACAAACTTCGAGGCAAAAAAAGTGAGTCTTGCCTTGCTAAGGAGCGACTTCCGGCTTCAGCCGACACATCCTGCGCAAGTCCCGGGTCAGGGTGAGCTTCGATTCTAGACGTCATTTGGAGCGGCACGACAGTCCTGTCCCAGCACTGCTTTCTGCAGTAAGGCCCTCAGGCTTGCCCTCCGCTTATGCTCACTTTCAGTAAGTTCAGCAGCATCCCCTGCATGTAAGGAGACTCAGTTGAGCGGTGGTCAAAACCCTTTGGTCTTGGCCATGTTATCCTTTTTTGCTTCCGCGATGCTTACACTACCCATGTCTTTGCTTACTCGGTGATTGACTTTCTCTTAGGGCTTGAGCGTTTCTTACGCGTCGGAATGGTTACCGGCGTTCACCACCAGCGCAGTTGAAGCACTCTTTTTTGATAATTTGCTCTTGTGGACGCTATTAGGTGGAGGCGTCGCAAGTAGGTTGGAGGCCATCGCCACTAGGAACAAGAAGCTACTAGGAACAAAGGGCATCGGCATCGCCACTAGGAGCAAGGACGCTACTAGTAGCTCCTGGCCTTACTACTAGGAACAAGAAGCTACTAGAGAAATAGGATGATTCACTTCGTGAAGCCCACTGCTTCTTTTTGTGCCCTGGGGACTAAGCAGGCGGAGCGAGGGTCAAACTGCCCTATGTGCTTGAAAAGTGTTTTTCCCATGCAGCTGCTTTGCTTTGGATTCTTCAAACAAAAACTTGGGTGGACGTACCCAGAGGGCTTCATCTGAGAAGGTCGCCTATGCAAACCTTATGCATCGCCTTCATCAGCTTACGCAGCTTGTGCAAGGAGTGCTTTTGAGAGATTGAGTCCCCAACCCTCTTCTGCTAGCAGTGTTTCTCAGCAAAAAAACTATACAAAGTAAATCAAAGTAAAGTAGCAGTGTGACTAGAAGACTCAAATTTGTCTACGCACCTTCTTACGCATCGAGTGCCCCAATGCTACCAAACCTTACGCAACCCCTACGCCGTGCAGACTTTAGCTTACACGACAATCTTGCAGTTCAATCGGACCGTGTGTTTCTTTCATAGAGGTTTCGAAGGCTGCTCAGTTGAGAACGCACACCGGACACAATGGATACTGTACATGATTCATCGTAACTAACCGTATGTTAAGCTTCTGATAGCTTCTGCAACCTTCTCTGTAATTGGAGTACAACCTCTGCATACTTCTGCCTTACTTCAGGCCATTTGTTGCTGATTCTATACTCGGAAAGTCACAAAAGCTAAAATGCAAATCCTGGAGCTGATGTGCCTCGTAGGGGCTGCGGTGTAGAAGCCTCTGGTTCTGAAATTCAGCAAATATGTCTGAATATTGTAAGAGGCCTGAGACTATAGGATTGTCAGAAATGGGAATCAAGGCTTTTGGCGCTCTGAGGCTCTCTGAGGCTCTGACACCTTCGGGAAAGTGAAGTCGGTGCAGCCATACACCAACAACTCGAGGCGGCGAAGGAGAGAGGGCGCGCATTGCGACCACTCGAAGTGGCGCGAAGGCGACAGGACCCTAAGGAGCTGGTCTTGCAAAGCCGTGATGTCTGGCGCCATGATTCTAGTAGTGTCCTTGCTCCTAGTAGCAAGGCCAGGAGCCCGTAGTAGCGCCCTTGCTCCATATCAGTCTTACCATTGTTCCAAGTCTTACAATGACAGTGAGGTTCACGCTTCATGCAGGTTGTGCCCTTCTGCGACCGGTCGGTCTGCAGCTCTAACCAGGGCAATTGAGTACACCCATATGGCTGCATGATGGCTTGCGAGATTAACCAATGAAGTCAAAGCGCTTGAAAGCGCAAGAATCCAAACATCAAAAAGCCTCCAGCCATTGCTACTAGGTTGGAGGCCATTGCTACTAGGTTGAAGTTGAAGCGTTGAGGATTGAGACTCTCCAGAATCTGCTAAATGCAGGATGTGTCCTGATGCTCCAAGATCAAGCTTGTGGTCTTGGGGGTCTTGCCATTTATCAGCAGTCTTCCACTGGTTCCACCAGATCTCAAAGGAACCTTGGCACAAAGAATGCTGACCCCACAAACTTACGGCCCTGGATGGACATCACATGAATACCTCTTTCTACTAGAAACAAGAACGCTTTCGCTTTCCAAGAACAGTTGCAAGGCCGACCCGGCAAGGCCGTTAGTATGCGGGATGCCGCCTTAAGGCGTCTGTTCTGTCGCCAAAGTGCCGCCGATGGAGGTTCCGACAAGGGCTGGCCCTCCGAGTTCAGGAGCTGAAGGCTTACGCGGCTGTTTTCCTCGTTCCTCACTTCGATTCGGTCAGCTTCATGGTCACAGAAGAAGTGGAACCATATTGCAGTTGGAATGTAAGTGGCAACAGTCGGCAAAGCAGTCAGCAAAGCAGTACGCTGCGGTGCTGCGAAAATATCATATTCAGGTTGAAGCCGGGATGCCGGAGAGAGCCTTGAGCCGATTTCTTCAACAAATCTTTGGACACATCACAAGGAAAAACAAACGTGGCAAGATTCCAACATCTTTGAGCACGTGACACATGAAGGGTTGGATGCCCAGCCCGCTGAGAACAATTTTGCCTTAGGATTCCCGTGAAACGATTCTCCAACTTCTACCCAACTTGTCGCAACTTCAGCTGCGTTGCAATCCTTGTCAGAGCCAATTGTAGTTTCCACGTTTGCTGGAAGAAAGTAGACCAAGCATCCTGCGACGATACAGTTGAGGCTCACAGTCGAATCTTTGCTGTGGAGATTCAGTTCTAACAATCCACCGCCTTTGACATTATTAGAGAATGGCTTCACTTGAAACTGTAAACCGCTTGCACAGCATGTCACATCGCGCTTCATTGGGGCAAGTCCTCGTAGGGATGCATCATCAGACAGGTTCACCAGTTGAGGAACATTCAAGTCCTCGGTTTCAAGGTGAACTCAACCGCTGCGCAGGTTTTCTGTTCAAGGTGCACCTTGTCAAAGTCCCGGTTGGCGCCGTTTTGGACATCACTGCCGTAGAAAGACCATCAAGCAAGTTTGAGGGATGGGATTCTTAGGGTCAAATGCCGTTGCAGCGCTACAGCTAGAGCAGGACTCTGCATTTCTAAGCAGGATCAAAAGTCGTGCTAGCTCAACCGAACCAAGATTTTCGCAAGGAAACGCACAAAGGGGCCACAAAAAGGCAAATGTTGGCGAACATAAGAGTGAGCCTAGGGCCTAGAGGACGTGATTGAGCATTGTCTTGTTTAGTGATAGATTCGAAGTGGTACAGAATGACTGGGGAGGCAGCTTCGCAGCAGCTTCAAGTGATTTCTCAACCTCAAAACCATGGTCTGTAAACCTTGTATGGACCTCACAAAAGTATCTGGATGCAAGAATGCATCACTGGCTTCTGGGAACCCATCGCAGCTTCTACAATGTCACCCCAATGCTTCGACCCTCCCACTTAATCCCACTTATGTAGAGCAACCAACTCGGGTGCTCACCCAACTAAAAGCAGTGAGGGGAGAACCAGCAACTTGCCCAGCAACCAACACCTTCTCACTTCAAGCCTCCCAACACCCAACGGAAAATCATTCGCCAACGGAAAAGAACAGAAGCGATGGCCTCCAACCTAGAAGCGATTCTATCGCAACATGTACCTCCAACTATTGTACGACCAAGGGACCATACCAACTGCTCCAGAAATCTCTGCCAGGTCCAAACCCAAGTCGCCCAAGGCCTGGCAGTGGGAAGAATCAAGACGTCGAGACGACCTGTTATGTTATGCTAAAAATACCGTGTTCTAGTCGGTAGTCATCGACATGCCGAGAATGCCTCTTTGAACATACACCAAGAGTCCTAGCAACAAAGGGTATCGATATTAGGAGCAAAGATGCTACTAGTAGCTCCTGGCATCGCTACTAGGAGCAAGGACGCGACTAGTAGCAAGAATGCTACTAGTAGTAATGCCCTTGTTACTAGTAGCGATGCCCTTTGTTACTACTAGCAAGGACGCTACGTAAATGTCCCGAAACATCCAGGAACCCGGACACAGGATAGCTCGCGCTTCAAGGGAGCTCCCCCTCGCCTCGGGTGGGGGGAGATTCCTTGAAGCGAAGTTCGCTATCCTGTGTCCAGTTGAAGCGAACTTCGCCTTGTAGCTTACTCCCCTTGACTAAGTAGGCACCTAATTAAGGGAGGGAGGGAGGGGCCTCGGTAAAGAAAAGGCCTCGCCCGTGCCTTCTTGCGCGACTCTTCCAGTTTCTTGGCCTCTGCCAACTGCACCTGGTAGTCCTGTTCGCACACCATATGTAACGCGTTCTCTACAAAGAAGTCTTCTCATGTCTTCTCATATTTCTTCAGCCTGCACATTTCCAAAAAGGTGGAAGAAGAACCAAAAGGGTTTGCAAAAAGGCTCGACTTGTTGAGAACGCGAGACATCACTCGCACCTGCTCCATCTGGGCCAAGAGCTGCTCCGTATCTTGAAGTTGCTGCTGTAGTTTGCCTCAGCGCTTCTGGTTCACGATGCCCTTTGCTCCTAGCGTCCTGGTTCACCAGTTTTTACCATTGTTTCACCTCCTGAAGGATCAAACGCCAAGCTACGACTCTTTGATCTTTTTGGAGAAGAGTCCGACTGACTCTTCTCTTACACGTAAGATGGACGCTTGATGACTACCTCTCTCTTGATGACTTGATGACGCTTTAGGCCTGAAGCTCTCTGTTCCGCAGCTCTCTCAGTGTCCAGCTGTTCTCTGGTGTCGCCTGTGATGCTTTCAGTTGTTCTTTGAGCCTGACAACGATGACTGACGGACGAGAAACTGCAACCACTCCAGAGTCTCAACAGATCTTTCATCCACGTTTTCGTGTATTCAATGAATTCATAATATGTATTTAATGAATGGGGTGCAAGAAATGAAAGATTGTCTTTTTTTGCTACTAGGAACTACTAGGAGCAAGGACGCTACTGGGAGCAAAGGGCATCGCTACGAACGGAGCAAGGACGCCACTCGTGCCGCGCGAGTTTTCGGCGCTCCTGGTGATCTCCGCAGTGAGATCCTCCACAATGCTTCCGCTATTTGCCTCGTTGCGCACCGCTTTGGTCGCCACCTTCTTGCAAGTCTGGGCCTCAACATCTCAAGCCGGCAGAGTCTGCAGTGGTCAATCTCAAATCTTGCGTTCTTTGAAGCGGCAAATGAAGGCAAAAGGCAACTAGTCAACGACGCGACTATGGACCGGGCAAATTTCAAGGTTCCTAGAGTCTCTTCCAAGTTCGAAAATGCTGGAGAAAGAGCAGCAATGAGGACAGTCTTGGAATTGCCACTCAAGGATTCCTGCCTCGGTTCGCCGACATTTGAGTGTCGGAGTTGGCGGCGGTCGGACGGCTTCATTGACGTCTTTTTCGTGTCCGAGTTACAGGATGTAGGTGAGCTTTGAATTCCGAAATGGCACGAAATCCGTTTTTTCATCATCGAAGCTTGCCAACTTGTTGATGACCAAGGCCAAGTTGGACAGCGACCTTTGCTCTAGGCATCTGTGCTACATTGTTCCTTGAGTCTGTGTCTATCTGTGTTGTGTTGCACTAGCAAAGCACATGGATGATTGTTGATGAATGGTTGGTGTGCCAATAAAGGACAAAGCCTGGCTTAAAGCCAACAAGGGCCATCAACAAATTCAAATCAAATGGCTGATTTATCATCGCTCCTTCCTTCAGCTGGCTGCCTGAAGTCCCTGTCTTCTTTTGCCTTTCCGAACCTGCAAGATCCACCAGATTGACACCTAAGCCACCAAGATTCTATCTTGACTGAAGTTTCAGTGCCACAGATTGCTCCGACACAACAGCAACATGCACTCACGTGAGCTCACTGATTACATTCGGGAAATCTCTGCGAATATATGCGAATATGTTTCGAACATCTGTGAAAGAATGTATTCTATGACTCAAAACCTGATTTTGCGTCAGCGAGTTGCTGGCACACTGTTCCCGTCCACCTCCAGACTTCAGTAGGTTGAAAGTAAAGATGCAATGCGAGCGTGACGAGGCAGAGTTCCTGAGAGAACGGACATGTCTCAATTCTTGATGTCTGATTGCTACTATTAACAAAGGGCTCGCTTCTAGGAGCAACGACGCTACTAGCAGCTCCTGGCCATACTACTAGGAACAAGAAGCTACTAGTAGCAAAGGGCATCGCTACTAGTAA